GTAATATATTTTTATAATATTATTTTTTATATTATCAGTACACAGCGGTTTTTACCAAATAAAAAATAGTTTCCATTGTTTTTATTTGAGGAATTCACAACCGTCATAGTATATTATTTAATAGCATAAAATATTGCTCATATGACTACATCTATTTATTATATCTCACTGACAGTATATGACTGTATTTCAGACCTCAGTGAATAGGAGAATAGAAGTAATACAGAATAGTGAACAGCGATTATTGTGAATGGTTTAATTAAATCTATAATACCTAGCAATCGATAACCTTCAGATCACAGTAGTAAGTTACTCGTAAGTTCGACACAAACGAGGTAGGTTGATTCCTTATTGAACTAATTAGATTTTTTATACTGATATACTTCTCTGTATGGTTGAAATAATTTTGAATAATATTTGTGTCACACGCTATCCTAGTTTCACACACCTTTTTTTATTGTTATAATGTATTGTACAATATTGTATAATATTGTTTTTATACAGTAAAATTAGACCAGAGCTGTATTAAAATTGTTCTTCGTGCCTTATATTTTATCAACATTACTATTAAAACTTTAAATCGAATTCTTCGAAATATAGCGACGATAAAAATAAAATACAATATCGCAGAAGTGCATCGTTCAGACTTCTGTAAACTATTTTAAGTTCACCAAAAATAGTTTAATCAGAGTTATGCGACCCATTAATTAAATTACGTTTGCTATGGGCTGGGCTATAAGAAAATTGCTTTTATTTGTGGGGAGTCATTCAATTAAACATTCATTCATTTGTGGCCCATCGAGTAGCGTCCATTACATTTAATTATAATTTAGAAGGCCTCTTTAATGATTAGGTTGTACCTATAGGTATGGCAGGTATAATTTCAATTAATAATTTTCTAATATCTACGATTACGAATTATCTACATATATTAATTATATACATAGATAATAATCAACAATTTTCTAATGTGATTTTAAATTATTGTAATTATGATGTCCATTCTATTAATTTTTCAGTGTTTTCTTTTAATTACAATTAAATACATATTGTAGTTGATCAAATACAATAGTTACCTGTATTTAATAATATTATAAACCAATATAATGTGTACTTACGAAACTTTTAACAATAAAACAACATAAATCGATTCAGAATTAAAGAATTGAAATAGCTAATGAAAGTAAATACTAATATCATTGCATAGTCCCTCATCATTATGAAGAATCTACTTTCTTTTATTATAGTTCTGGACCGTATATACTCATAAACTGTGTTTAGTTACTTTTAGCCGTTTTCTTGATAGCATCGGATTACCTCTCAAGGGCACATCATCGAGTTCCTTTGCTTGTTCCAATTTTTAAGTACTTTTTCCAAACAGTTCCTTGGTGCATGAATGCATGTCTTATATAATATATATATAAGGTTTTTCCTTGTAATGAAATAAAATATTGTTACCTAAATATGCATAACAATTTTAATTAATTGTTACTCAATGTTGAATCATACATCTGTATGACTAATAGGTCATTACTGAATCACAAGAAAATGACATACATAAGAGCAAATTAAAATAATCGAATTTACAATAGATTTTTTTAATGCAACTTAGAATGGCAAAACAGCTGACTGCCCACCTGATGGAAAGTGGTAATTGTCGCCTATAGACATGAGCAGTACCATGGACATAACAGAGTATACTGTTTGGCCCATGATACCACCCATGCATTGTCATTCTTGAGGACTCAGGTATTATTCCTCTGTACCCAATAAATTCACTGCCATATCACACCCTTCAAACCGAAACACAGCCATTCAAATACACTGCTTCATGGTAGAAACACGAATGGGTCAGAGGGGCCCAAGCAAACGACTTTTGTAGTCTCTCTCTGTTTTTTAAAGTTTTAAAGAACTCTTTAGCTAAAATGTTATTATTTTTTAGAAAAAGTTGTTATTTTTTTACAACACAATAAAATATAACAGGACTTCTATGAGATTATACTGAAAGTGAGAAAATCGAGAAATGAATTATAAATGTCGACTCATAATTAGATACTTATTGGTATTAAATACAAAAAAAATTATTACAGTTCTAAAGCATGCCAGGCATTACTAATTATAAAAAGAACATGTCATGTATGAGTGCTCGATATGAATTTGTTAAGCTTTAATACTCATCATCAGCATATCAGCCTTTAACTATCCTCTGCTGAACATAAGCCTCCCCCTTGGGGGGTTTTGCTTAATACTAATAAGCTTTAATACTATTTTTTATTTTTATTTATTTAAATATTACTGTATATAAATTAAAATATCAAATAAACTAGTAACCTAAGATTAGAAGTGCCCGTGTTGTGGGTGACTAGTTCACTCCGTATTACAGAGAACAGTAACAGCTGTGTCCTAAAAATCAGAATTAAAATATATAAACAAACGTATATTACCTATCGTTCCTAGAATCATTTTAATTATTAACAGTATCTGCATATCGTATCATAGATCGCCTATACTATAAGATTTTCTACAAATATTACTAAAGATAGTAGTCTTTATCTTTCAATTACAATAATTATTATCTTCTACAATTCGAACGATAAACACCTGAATGTGATGATGAGATTGATCAGTTTAATATATTTAATTACAATACGATATAAGTTATATATATATACTGATAATTATACTATTTAATTGAGGATCTGTTAGCCAATCTTGGCTAGGACAATTGTTTTATTATTACACTTTTTTTGCAATAAATATTAAGTATCCAAAGAAAAAATATGTGTGCGTAAAATATGAACTTTATAATGACTTTTTGGCTTCAAATGGCGATTTTGAGTCTAATTTAAAATGCTAAGCTAAAATCATTATTTAATTACGACGAGTTCTTTTAAATATACAGTGACACGGAACTCATAAAGTTGTTAATCGAGTTGGCACTTAAATAATCCCATTGCATTATCACTATTTTTTTATTTCCGGCTAGTTATATCTGCTACTTCGGCTTCATGATGAAAGTTTTACTGTATTGCTCATCATATTTTAAATAGATACCTAATTAAAATTATCTCGTTTCTAGACATTGTGTTTCGTCATCATCATCATCTCAGCCATTATCTGTCCACTGCTGAACATAGATCTCTCCTGTAGACTGCCATAAGGAACGGTCCTGAGCCACCTGCATCCACTGACTCTTTGCAGAACATTTAAGGTCGTCGCTCCATTTAGTGAGGGACCGTCCTACACTGCGTTTAGTCGTACTGTTGTTATTTATTTTTTGTTGTTTAATTTGGATGAAATATTTACCAGTTATTTAAATAATCTAATGCTCTATATAGGACAAAAAAAAAATTAATATACTGCTGCAACGTCTATGAAGATATTAAATATTTTAATGTAACAAACTTTTAATGTAGAATAAAATTGTAATTAGAATTTTCTTCTTAACTATATAAAATACGACGACCGTTATAAACTGTCAAAAATAAAACACTTTGTTTATCGTTTTTTATTTTAATTATGTAGGTATTATAATAGTGAGCACCTATGCTTAATTGCTTTAGTACCCACTAAACCCAATAATTATATATTTTAACTACTTACTTAAATCTTAAATGGTATCTTTATGCTGCTCACATAGTGTATGCGTAATTAAATCCCACAATTTAGGTTATTAAAAAACTCCAACCAAATTAATGCAAGCAAATTAATTACGCTTACTTTACGAACTAATCTAGTTTACTTAAATTAATTATTTTATGTGTTAATTTTATGGAGGGCTATAATAACCTATTATCTGAATTATTTTTTTAAACTTGTTAAATTTTTATGCTTAATAATTTTTAATAGCCCGGCTCTTTTGATATAATTTTATGTGATGAAGTGTATTTTTAGAGGCACATACGACTCAGATATTTCGAAAGAATTTTTAAGAGCTTTGGTGAGTAAACTATTTTTGGTTGCTATGTTAAATGTATGAATATAAAGTAAATTGTTTACACTTTGCAACCTATACCTATAGTATTTTACATAGCTCATATCATATTAACATAGAACAAGGTACAATTTATTATATATATATATAGATTGTTAATAATGAGAATTATTTAAGACTTTATCATAGAGTAATTAATGGATATATTAGGCATATTTGTCATTCTATATAAAACATGGTAAAAAGTACGATTTGGCAGGATTTTTTGTTTGTATTATTATTATTATTATTGAGCATAATCTGTTACGGCATAGAAATGCAACGTAACAGAGTATGCTTACTCCGTATTATCCGTAAGGCGTGGAAGTAAGAAAATAATATGTCATCAACCCTTTTCGTCATCAGGATCTCAACAATTGGAAGGGCAATATAACAATATATTAATACAATAGATGGAAATCGCGAAATAAGACCCCTACATCAATATACATTAAAATGTACAAGTGATTAAAATACATTGTAGTTAAAAAAAAAATAAACAGTACGAGACTATTTACAATTGTTACACGAGGTAACTGTAAGTAGGTTAATTAGATACAAATTAGATTAATTATGTTTTAAATTGTAATTAATTAATTAAATAGTATTCATGAATAATTATTTGTTGAAGAGCCAATATACAAATTGCGTTGGCTTACTTTTTGATGATTCATCAACTGTTACATTGAATTATAAATATTACTTCTGTCACTTTTTAATAATATTTCATGAATATTTATAATATACGTAAGATATGTTAATTTTATAATGTATTTTTCACAAAATATACAGTTTATACATGATTACTTATAAAAATATAATTAATATATTCAAACCAACAAGTAATTGGGTTCATCTATTTTACTTTAATAGAAAAGTAAATAAATAAAAAAAAAAACAAAAATATTTATGGGCCTTCTAACAAATAAAATCAAGTAAGCTACGATATATTTCAAAATAATGAGACATAAACACTATCGGTTAATTTTTTTTCTAAAGTTGGCAATAAAAATATTTTTTCACTTACCATAAAATTAATTAATTGGTAATACGTAAATTCAGTGTAAAATTACCTATGTGTATATTATATTATAATGTAAATGGGGTTCACGCTTAGTTCACACAACACTACGTAAGTCACTGAGATGTATATTGTACCATGATATTTTTAATATAAAAATAGCAATATCTATTTATTATATTTGATTTATCATTTTATATTTTCTACATGTACTGATGCACTTGTATAATCATTACAACATTTAATAATATATGTTAAGAATAACCCAATGGGACCTCTTTCCGTTTCTAACCAGTATTTATGTACTTTCAGATATGCATATAATCCCAAATGTGTAATATGCCGCTGTATCTTAAAGTTGTATGAAGTTGTCAGTTTGACAAGTCGCGATGTACCGCGCGATACATTATTGGCCCGTTGCACAGTACAGCAAGACGCGTGTTTACAAACCGCTCTCCTTATAAAAACTGAATGAATGAACGACCGCGGCGCGGTACTCTATCGGCCGGCTTCCTGTCTACCATGATAACACCCTTTGCTGTTTAATAAAACCATTGTTGCTAGCATACTTTAGTTAATAAAAATATTGTACTTATGTAGTTCTAAAAACATTTAAATAAATTGCCTATGATTATTTATTATTTACAACTTTTTTCAAAAATTACTATATATACGTATATGAATTACAATATTGTCTGAGTGCTGGACATGAAATACCAAAAATAGCAAAAAATATTTAAAATTTAACAATTTAGTGATTGTGGATTGATTGAATGTGGATGACATAAATTTCAGACTTAATTGAATATTTATAATATTAATAACACTATAAATTTGTTACGATTTTTCCTGAAAAACTTCTGTATTCATGTAGAGCTAAGGATAATATTTGTTATTAGCTATATTTATTGCCAATACGTATGAAATTTTTAGAAATTTATACTTGGCTCCACATAACATTTACCAATAGGTACACATATTGATATAAACCTGTATTGTAGCTCATTTTCAGCAATTCAGGTGACTAAATCACGATGCACCATACATATTTATTGTTACTACGTATTGAAATACATATATCACCACTTGTATACCTTCTATATTAAGGGTTTTATATACGTAATTAAATAAAATAGTTAAGTGACACAAAATAACACTAACATAGTTTAAGTCAATTGTTACTAACAAGAATGGATCTTTGTAATCTATAAATAAAGAAATATTATTATTATTATAAAATTACATTAATAGCTTCTTTTGTGTTATAGGAAGCCTAAGGGCATAATTCAAAACAGTTGTTATTAATTTAAACAGTACTTATCTTAAAATATAATAAATACCTAGAGATCACGTAAAAATCTCTCGTAATAAGAACAGTCGAAGAATCATAGTTTATTTTCGAGATTGCCAGTGTGCAATGGTAGAAAAAAAGTAATATTATTTTTCAATTCCCATACAAAGGTGGTCGGTGCGCGGCGGCAAATTGGTTGTATTGTCAATTTGGGCAGTGCGTGCCGGGGCGCAGATGAAATGTTTATTTTCAATTTCCGACATTTTCCCGCCGCGTCCGCCGCAGGATTAGGATGCGAAACAACGTCACTATTTGCCACTATAGTTCCAAATGCGTCGCACATAATCAGAATTGTAAAGTAATCATTTGCATAATTGGAACGACAAGACACTAATTATACTTACAAAATAAAAAAACACACAATGATTTGACAAATTTTTACTCTTTCCTTTTCATTTTTTTTTTATTTAAGGGAAAGTAAATGCACTGTACTTACAGTTTTAGAGTATTGGTTATTTGTTTCGTTTAATTAAAGTTTTTAGATCGCAAATTAGTTCAAGCATGTCACAATACTGCGTGACGCTTTATTCTACTTTGTTTTCTACAAAACAAAGCTTTCTCCGATAGTTTTACGTACTTCGGTAGGTATCGATAAAATTATACAAAAACATGAGTTTTACAAATATGAATACACAGATATCGCGATTAAGTGTCAACTTTCATGATTTCAAAATAAACCAAAAGGGCCTTTTTGACTCCCGCTCAATATTCGAAGTTAATACAAGAAATTTATAACATTTTTATTATTGACAAAAATAGCTTTAGAGATTGTATTACTCTCTAATGCTATTTTCAAATAAAATCAAATGTATTTAGACGATCGAAATGGCGATTCTATCGCTAAAAATATCTTCAGTTTTTAGTGCAAAATAAATAACATTTTAGTCACTTTTTTAACTAATTAATGTACGTAGCTATTAGATTTTACGGGTGATAAATATTCCAATATCGACTTGTCACTTGACCTGTAGGTTGTCATATATTTACATAGTAGCAACAATACCGACGCAAAGTAATTAATAATTTTATCATTGCAGTAATGAGTGCTATCAATCCTTTTAATTATAACAGCCAAGTTAGGTTAGGTTAGGTAGACACTTATAATATACATGACTTAATTAATGTACGTGTCTATTATTTATTTGTATTTCTGTGCCTATTTGAATTGCACACGATAAAGAGAAATAGACGTGACAATATTTGTTTTATTAACATTGTAAAATTAAAATACTATTATACACAAGCATATTATTAATCAATTTTTATTGTAGATATTTATATGTTTTTATTTTGAATATACAAAGAAGTTTATTAAAATTATTAAATTCATGCAATAACCACTATTACCGAAATATATAATATTTCACAACGATACGAGCAAATGTATGTTTATATATTATATTATCTATATTTTACATATTGGTACTTGCAATTAGTTCCTGAAGTCTTGGTGATGGTATCGCGCGATGCGAATCGCATGAGAAATTTGTAATAGCATTTAATCGGTAACTGACGAGCATGGTGCACGTTTTCAATTCATGTACGCGACCCTTGGACATTAAGGTTATTTCCAATTTGTATCGGGTCATCGAAACAGATATGTATGTAAAATTTTCACTAACTGTTTATACCTATATATATCATATAAAATATGATCTAGAATATCTTATATTGTAAATATTATTTACTTATTCATCTTTATGAACGTAAGTATCACAACTACAATGTAAAGAACTTCTGCAACTATACATATTACAACTTCAAAATTTCCCCTTCATATTACTTAAGACGCACCTTAGATATATGACCCGTTATACAGGACGCATAAATAGCTTAATTGTCGGTTCAAAGTATCCTTCGTTGGTGGCAGGAAACTTAAATATTAGCATGTTTTATTACCCGATGTTTGCGTAGTGCTTCCTTTGAACAGACTGACGGCACCGCAGCACCGCCGCCGGCGGTTCACAGATAAAAGGTTCCACCATCACACAGCAGATTATTATCTACGTATGACGTTTCTGGGATCCCCTCAACATTAATTAGGGATTTATTTTATAATCCACTTTAATTAAATAGTTATTTTATATCGAAATATACCATCACTACATGCATACATCTCATTATATATTAGACTACTTCATAAATTTAATTTAATACATTTAAAAATAAATCTTTAATTATAAGTATGAAACTGTTCGGCAATCCAAAGCTATAGTAGTTTTAGTGTTTAGCTACATATATAATTACACTTCAACTAAATCAATAGATGACTTTATCATTTTCCATAATACAAAAAAAAAAAAAAATTATTACTCTTCGCAATTAACGATAATCTGTAATACTTGAAAAACTAACAAAAACTAAAAAGTCAACAAATTTAAATTAAACGTAATTTCATTGTCTTGAAACCAAAATACCAAATTAAAAATGCAAACTGCAATAGGCCACCCGTATACTGCAGTTACACATTCTTAACAACTAATAACTTAGCGGGGTCGTTTACACGACAACCTTATGCGATATTTACGAAGATTATGCAACAAACGTTGGCAATTCACTTGACATTCTGTTTCAAAAGGGCCCCTCGAGCCTCGAGCCTCGAGCCGCGACAATTGTATGTCATTTATGTACAGGGAAAAGGTTGGTATTCATTACACGGCGACCGTCCAATACCGCCAAGTGACCGTAATGGCGGGCAATTTACTCGAAAAAAAAAAACCCTAGTTATACAACCAACAGTGGTGATTCATTGTTGTGGCTTGTTTAATTTTGTTATTACTATAAAACAGTGGTATTAGAGACAAACCTAGTCTAGCATCTAAAGAGGAAAGAGCTGGAATCTACTTCCTTGATCACGAATTACTAAATTAAATATAATAAACGGAGTAATTTGTTAGAGTAAATTTTAATTCTTTGTATTGTTATTCGTATTTAATATTAAAATTAACAAAATTTTTTAAAAATGCATGGATGAGTGTTTTGAAAGAGTAACTTGAAGCAAAAACTACTAAAAGGGTTTAAATGAAATTTGACATATGAATAGGTTATAACCTATTATATACGAAACTTTTACGATATGTACTTACTGATTCACGCGGACGGAACTGTGGGATACAACTAGTATTTCATAAGTTTTATGTATTTTATTCTAAAGTATCAAAGTAATAATTGCCCTAGTGAATAGATACATTCTTTATTTAAAAAAAAAAATTAGAAGTAATTATATTCTGTAGGTATCTCTGGTATTGTTTAATACAATACATTACACTTAATTGTAATATATAAATTAATTGCATAAAAGCATACTAGATCTAAACATATCGCAACTTGATGTTTATACCTATTTTACTGACAAGTACTCGATAAAAAGTTGTGTATAAAATACAATGTAACGAAAGCATGCCGATATAACATAACAAATTAAATTGTGTCACAGAGCATCGACCACGTGTGAATGCCACCGCGTAACAGGAATACCGGGCAGGGCCGCGGGCTTATTAACTCCCTCCATTAATTAAATTATTAGAAATCTCGAGCTGGGCTAATTAACGAAGAATTCCAACATTTCGGTCCACCTATCGGGCTTTAATTAAAACTGACAAAGCCGCGAGTGAACGAGCACTCGCCAAATATCGCCTCTATTAATGAAATGATCACTCGAAACTAATTAAATTATGGAGGTAATGGTGCGTGCTAGTGATACTGGCTTCAGGGATTCGACCACTCTGTGTAACACCTGCTATACCAAATTGCCGCTCAATTTTAATGAAATTAATAAATACTAAATCTAAAATGCTGTATTAAAAAATAATTAACATAAATAAATATTACTATATTATTTGCAACAGACAGAAACCTCGCAAAAAGTTTAAAAAAGGCATAAATTTTATTCACATTTGACCAATTAAGTTTACGAATTTGTAATGTTATATATTATTTACATAAATAAGAAAACTACATATTTAATATATACTATTAATTAAAAAGCTATAAATATTAATTATTTACAAAATTAGAATTTAAAATGAGCTATACTTATTTAGAAGATTAATAAGTAGTCGATAATTTTATTTTATGTAAATTAGTTTTTATTTAAATAATAAAATTAAATATATTT